GTGGGGTGGGTTTGCGGTGGGACCTGTGTGTTGGGATGGGTGTGTTGGGGGTGGGGGAGTGGTGTGTTGTGGTGGAGCGGGTTGGGTGGGTTGACGGTGGGACGTGTGTGTTGGGGTGGGTGTTGTGTGTTGTGGTGTGTTGTGTTGTGGTTTGGTGTGTTGACGGTGGGACGTGTGTGTTGGGATGGGGTGTGTTGTGTTGGGGTGTATTGGGGATTGGATGTGTTGGGGGTGGGGTGGGGGTGTGTGGCCGGCCAGAGATCTAGCCAAGAGGGCTGAAGAGATGGGGTGTGTTCCAAACAATAACATGTCACATTTTTCAGGACGTTTACGATAAGACATTGTTATATTTAGAAATGTTCCATTTCGATTGGTGAGATGTTAAATCCAAAGCACGAAAAATAATCCCAGAAACAAAACAAAAAAACAACAACAAACAAACAGGCAAACAAAATTGAACAGAATAATACCAGGTTTTCTTGACCTTCATGATGAAATTGGAGTGGCAAAGTCCAACGTTCACTTCATCAAACTGAGATACACAGAGGTACACAGACGGAAAAGATACTGGACAAGATGACAACATGGCTAGGAGCAGCAAGAACAACAGACACTGTTGCTGCAACGTAAGACAGTGAAATTGAGGTCCATGATCGCCCACGCCAGTCGGCAAGGCACTGGATGATGATGATGAGTTGTAGGTGTTTGATGTTCTCATCAACACAATTTAAATGTGTCAAGACACGGTGGAATCCAGCGCTCGTCGATTTTTTGGGCATGTGCAGTTATTGGTATAATCTGAAAACTAATTTGTTTGCCTTGTTTTCAATTAAATAAATATCCATTTATCTTGATTAGAACTTAAGATATTTGCGATTGAAGGGGGTGATGTCGCCTGGTTTCAGCGTTGAAATTAGCGAAAAAATGGCCGTCAAAGTTTGGTAACTCCAATAGCTAAAGACTCTTCGAAAACTGAAAAATGACTTTTTTTTAGCCTTTAATCAATGTTTTTCAGTAAAAAGGTCACATGGAAATGCGTTTTTATATGAAAATAAAAGATCTTGAGACAAAAACATAAATTAGAAAAAAGTTGTTAAACTGGAGGTAAAATGCCAATATCATCTATTTTATTATTTTGACGAACGTCTGATTTCACCACGATGCCTCACAAATCATTAATTTGAAACTTGACTGCTCTGAGCCAGTCAGTCAAAGCCATTGTTCAGAGTTACAACATTCCAGCTGGCAGACTCAGATGCTCCGCCAAAAATCTCCCCACTTGGGAATCGACCCTATATCCTGTCCTGTACCTGCCACGAAGAAGCACTATCCCATACACCACAGGTGCTGGGAAACAAGGTAAGTTTGAGTTTTAGTAAGGTTTTACGGCTCTTGCGTCTGCATACGGTCTTATGAACGCCAGGGGATGGGTGTCAACGGAGAAGTCCTTACAGGGAATCAGGCTTACTCTGCTCACCTCTCTACTCTCTAACTTCAACAGAACAAAGACTGCTTCGACTATCAAGGCACCACGGAAACAGAGGGTCACAAGAGAGTGACAAACATGCAAAAGAAGTAGAGGTAAAAAATGGTGATAGTAAGGATGAGGAACGAAAAAGCAGCAGTTCCCTGTTGCAATTAAGGCACAGTTATGAGCATGACAATGATGAATCAGCCCATTTACAATTCTACTATGCAACAGAACATGGCAATGCCCCCCCCCCCTTTGGGAATGACCTAAAGACACTTCAGTCAGTAGTACCGCCCTTGGGGGCAACAAGGTATGGATAAGACAAAGTCAGACAGCAGAGGAATGTAACCGGAATGGGTTTAACTTCTTCACTGCTGTGCAGAAGTCTTAGTATGTATTCAATTGTGTTCGCCAAGCCTGGATCTCTGTCAGTTTTTTTCCTATTGAAATGGGAAGTTTTTGAAAACGTACTGGTATTGACGATATGCGTTTTGTATTCTTGTATAAGGGGGATATATTATATTATGGATTTGTGTAAATCTTTCCTCAATGAACATTTTTCCTTGTCTGTACAAACATAGAAACTCTTCAGCAATAAAGGGATCAACACACTTTTCAGCAGTGGATGATTATCTTAGGAACCTCCAGTGTCTTTTACAAGCAACCCACACATTTTGTACAGAGCCCTAAATCTCTCCAAAAGACAAAAAGTTCAAGAATTTGTCGATTGGGATTCGAACCTACGTCATCTACACCCTATCCCGTTACAACAACAACCGAGCCTTACAAAATACCGACATCCAGATGACAAATGGAAAAATGGCAGGCCTAAGTGTCGGGTGGGAGGTTGTCTGTTTCCTTTACCCACATGGTAGCCGCACAAACGCTGCATAAGTTCAATTACTTTGTGAAGCATTTGTGATGCATTGTGGTGAAATCAGGCGCTCGTCAAAATAATAAAATCAAAGAAATCGGCTTTTTTTTAAAAATTGGTAATTTTTTCTAATTTTCTTTTTTGGCTCAACACGTTTTTTGTCCATTTAAAAACACATTTTGATGTTGATTTTACGGAAAACCATTCATTACAGGCTAAAAAAATATACAAATTTTCAGTTTTCGAGGACTCTCAGGCTGTGGAAGCTACCAAACTTTGGCGGTCATTGTCTCGCTAACTTCACCTCTGAAACCAGACGACCCTGACCTTTTTCAAACGCAAATATGTTGACTTCTGTACAACATAGACGGATATTTTTTAAAACCAAAAGCAAGGCAAATGAACAGGCTTTAAGATCATACCAATAACACCATATGCCAAAAAATTGACGAGCACCTGTCCCCACCACGACATGACACATTTTACTTGCCACATGCTTGACCTCTCTTGTCTCCGGATTATAAAACACACTTAAAACAGATAACAGAGAAGTGTATGGGGGAGCCATCCCAGTTTGCTAGGAGCTCCTGTTTTTCTGATGGGTTCCTCCATCTTATTTACCTTGCACGTGTCATGATAAGATGGATACAAAAAAGCAGGGGGAAAACGAGACTATGAAACACAGCTCAAGATATTATTAGAGAGAACTAAATTTGTGTGGCAATTAAGTAGACTCGTCAATTCTGTTCCCTGATAGGTTGTAAATGCTTTGCATCCTCGTCAAAACAGCCATTCTTATGATTAAAGAAACTGACTTTCTCCACTCTTAAGAAGTTAGACATACATGGTAAAACACCCCCCCCCTTTCCCCCGCCTCCTGGATGTGGAATCTGTGTCTTTTGTATGCAGTGTGAAATAGCTTGAAGAAAACACCACTTACGCTGGTCAACATTCTTTAGAATAATCCGCACCCCCAGCCCAGCCCCCACAGTAAAATAAACACACAATACAACATTGCCAAACACACACACACACACACACACACACACACACACACACACACACACACACACAAACTCAAACACTTCCCTCTTCAGATGACAACATCAGAACACGGTGAGCCGGTGCTTGTGTATTGTTAGTGCATAGCTCATTATACGAGACTTACTGAGGATCTTGTCGACAGCTATTGCAAAGACAAACAAATCAAGGAAGTATTTTCCCACAGTGAAATAAAAAAAAGCCCCCCCCCCTTTTTTTTTTTTTTTTACTTTACTTTTACTTTTCCGATCCAGCGGCCATCTGGGTTCTAGCCCTTCGGCCTGTCGATATGGCAAAGAATTTACATGTTTTGATCAAAGGGCCCCGCAAAAACCAAGCCCATTACCGGCTGCGACTTGTTGGAAGAACACAGCACCAGCTGCACTATATCAGTCATACTCTCCACCAATGTGCCAGGAGCTGGACAATAAAGATATATCGTATCTTATCTTATGTTCCGAATGTCACTTTAATTAAAAATTGAATCATTTGTTTCCTGGAGAGAGGAGGCCTAAGTTTGTTTGGTTTTTTGGTTTGTTTTGCTTTTTTTTTTTGTTTTTTTTATGTTGGTTTTTGTTGCTGTTGTTTTTGTGTTGTTTTGTTTACTGTTGTGGGCTTTTTTGGTGGTTGGGGCCGGGGGGGGGGGGTTCTTGGGGAGATAGGGGTGTTAGTTCGATCTAATAGAAAGGTAAATGCCAAAACGCAGCTTATAAATTAACCACTGTATTAACGAAGCAGCGTAAAGCTTGCATCATCTGATGTCAACCTACAAAGGTGCGTTGTAACTCTGGTGAAATAAGCTAGTCCATGGAGAGCTAGAACAGTGTGTTTAGTTGACTGCTGATATAGGCGAGGTGATGGAGAGCTAGAACAGTGTGTTTAGTTGACTGCTGATATAGGCGAGGTGATGGAGAGCTAGAACAGTGTGTTTAGTTGACTGCTGATATAGGCGAGGTGATGGAGAGCTAGAACAGTGTGTTTAGTTGACTGCTGATATAGGCGAGTTAATGGAGAGATAGAACTGTGTGTTTAGTTGACTGCTAATATAGGCGAGTTAATGGAGAGCTAGAACTGTGTGTTTAGCTGACTGCTGATATAGGCGAGTTGATGGAGAGCTAGAACTGTGTGTGTGTGTGTGTGTGTGTGTGTGTGTGTGTGTGTGTGTGTGTGTGTCTGTGTGTGTGTGTGTGTGTGTGTGTGTGTGTGTGTAGTTGCCTGGTGAAATAAGCGAGTTCAGGGAGAGCTAGAACTGTGTGTTAAGTTGCTACAACCGACACTCTAAGCGGTGACTCTTGTGAAATAAGCGAGTTCATGGAGAGCCACTGTGTAGTTGTACAACCATTGAGGTCCACTCAATATATCGCCCCTTAGCTCGTCCCGCCAATCGCCGTTCAGTATGTAGATGTCACGTGACTCCGCCCCCTGCTCCAACACCGGGGCCACGAGAAGGTCGTTACCGAGGAGAAATTGTGTGTCAAGGGTCAAGGCCGCTTGGTCTGTGGGGTCAGTCCACCACAGCGGACGTACGATAGGATGGCCAGTGACCACCGCTTCTTTACTCAAGTTGACGATGAGGTCGGAGAAGTTTTGGTGAAGCTGTACGTATTTACGTGTGATGTTGACCACCTCTTCGTCGTAGTCCCACGGCCCGACGGAAAACTGCAACACCGGCAAAAATGTGGTAGCTTCCATCCAGCGGATGTAGAGCTCTTTGTCTGGCAGCACTGTGTGGTCAATGGTTATGTTATCCATAGCGTTCCCGCCGATGAGATCGGGAAGAACAAACGGGTAGCCCATGATCCCGAAGGCTAGGGCGCAGGGGATGACGGTCTTGAGACCCCTCCGGTGGCTCCAGTTACTGGCCCTGTCCAACATGCGCACCATCGTTGAAGAGTTCTGACTACGGTAGCCTGCACGCACTTCCTGTCGTCTCTCCTTGACGTCAGACCGATACGCCATCTCCACGTACTTCCGGGTGAGCACACTGGGGTTGGGCAAGGTTTCGTATGTCTCGTAACCCGCTGGGAGCCACTTGGTTTCACCAGCGTCAAATTTGAACGACGTCACGTTGTAGTTTACTTTTAGATTGTCTAGTCTATCCAAGTACCACGAGACCGCGTCAGGATTGGTGACGTCAAGGTGCCCTGCGTGTTTACCGCGCCACCATTCAGTAAGGGCTGGCTTCTCGGAGTGGAGGGCTCTCACTAGATAATTCTTCTCCGACAACTCTTGGAAGGCTTGTGAGTCGACGTTAAAAAACGGATGAACCCACACCGTGATAGGAAACCCTTCGCTTGTGAGATTCTGAATCAGTTCCCTAGCGTCAGGGAACTTGTCGGTGGCGAAAACCAGATCTCCGTACTTCGGGGTCCACTCGTCGTCAATCTCAATTTGTGAGGCTGGGAATTCGTTGTCAGTTATAAGGCTGGCGTACTCCAGAAGCAACGTCTGGTTGATCCCGCCTTTGTATTTGGCCCAGGTGCACCAGATCGGATTGCGTAGAACGTCATCAGACATGCTGGCTGCAGGTTTGGGTATGAACTGCTCTGCCATAGCTTTCCAAAGACTTGCGATGTCCTTAGACTTACAAACATCGTAGCGCAGAGACGCACTTTGAGAGCCGTGGTAGTAGGGCGTGTTTGCTCCCGTTCTTCCGACCAGACACAGCTGTTTAGATTTGGCCTCGTTGATGGACACGTAAAGGGGCGTGGTTTCATCTACGTGGATACCTACGCCAGCAGAGGACAGGAAGATTGGCTCGATAACGTCACCGTACTGCCCGGGGTTCTGAGTGAGACGAAACGACGGAAGGGCATTAGCAAGGCGCGTTAACGTAAGCTAATAAAGGTCTATTATTGATAAGCAGAGCGGACCTGTTAACAATAAAATCACGAACATAGACGAGCAAAACACGATAAAAAGGGAATTTTAAAAGTGCATCATTAGCAAAACACGTTAACAATGGAATGATAATATTAATTAGCAAAACACGTTAACAATAGAGTGATAATATTAGCAAAACGTGTTAACAATGGAATGTTAATATCAACAAAAAGCACTAACCAGTTAAAGGGGGGGGGGGTGTGTTAAATTGGCGATTTGTGGTCAATTTATGGCATCTGGACATTTTTACGTGTTATAATAGTCCAATCACTTGTAAAGCAAAAAAGTGCTTACACTTTGTGTTACAATCATCATCTTTCAGATTTTCTGTCCTAAAACTTTCATTTCGCCTATTTTGCAACAGAATGTTGTTTTTTCTCAAAACTTCAATTTTTGATGTTTTTTCTCATCTACTTTTTATTTTCTTTTTGATTCCAATTAAATTTTCAGGGTTTGTTATTCATACCATAACCTAACTTTATACAGGTGGAAAATGAAATCGATGCATTCACAATTTTAATGTAAATTTACTTTTTTGGCTGTGTCTAAAAACACTTATTGTGAGGAGAGATGTGAAACAAGTTTGTAATTCAGCTTCACAGCATAACAGTCGCTGCACCATGAGGGCATTGTGGGCATATAAATTTAATGCAATGTTTTGTTAAATTAAATACGACTCATATACAAACACACACACATACACACACATACACACACACACACACACACACACACACACACACACAGAGAGAGAATCACACACAAACACATACAAACACATACAAACACACACACACACACACAAACACACACTACACACACACATAAACACACATACACACAAACACATACAAACACACACTACACACACACATAAACACACATACACACAAACACATACAAACACACACGCACAAACACACACAAACACACTTAAAAACACATACACACACAAGCACACGATACCCGAGTGGGGATACATTTTTATTGACAGGAGACAGACTTCTGACCCTACCTGTCAGCGCATACAAAGGCCGAGAGGGATACAACTACAACACAGTAGCAGAAAGGCCGAGATACTCGATAAAAATGTACCCCCACTCGGGTATCGGGTGCTTGTGTGTGTGTGTGTGTGTGTGTGTGTGTGTGTGTGTGTGTGTTTGTAAGTGTCGTATTTACTTTTACAAAACGTTGCATCAAATGTAAATGCCCACAATGCCCTAATGGGGCAGCGACTGTTATACTGTGTAGCTGAATTACAAACATGTTTCACATCGCTCCTCATCCGTGTTTTTAAGACACAGCCAGAAACGTAAATGTATTTACATTAACATTTTTAACAATGTACACATCGCGCACGCATAATTTGACACTCCCATTGTCTCGCGAAGTGAGGACAAGGTGTGAGAAAATTTATACTGATGGAGATCCTAAATTGTATACGTGTCGAATGAAAAAGAGAGGATATATTTTAGACAGAAGGATGGAAAGAAAATAAATACAATTAAAGAGCCATAAATATATATA